GCAATATAAAAAGTACACTAACATGGAATACATTTATGTACAGCAAAAATCCATGCAGGTGGAGAAAACGCGTCAAACGCAGTGATAAAACATTTACCTGAATACTGCTATCGTTACAGGGGTGTGCACATGTCGAAAGAATTATCCTATTTTACTTTTATTGAAAAATGCATCTCAGAAGTCATGTAATCCATTGCTAACTCAATAGTAAAAGATGCTTGGACACACGTGGCCCATGCCGATCATTTTATTTGGTCAGGGAAAATATCAAAGGTTGAAAGCTCAGTGGGGTTGAAATTTTTTTTTCGAACATAAACATTACTCTTGTTTGTAAATGTAGTAAATAAAATTTATGATTACATGGTTTAACTTCAATAAATTTATAATAAAGCATGTATTTTTCCGAAACATTCACCTTTTGAAGATATTTTCCTGTGATAGGCGGGGGGGGGGTAATAAAACATGCATATTAATACTCTCATAAAAATAATTTAAGAAAAACGTCTGAAACAGATTAATTATTATCAAATAAATACTATGTATAGGCTTTATTAGAACTAATATAATTTGATACAAAGTTATCTATAATTTTATGCACAATGGAAGAAAAAAAGTGAGCAAGTTCACATACCCCACGCTTCCCCAAAAGTCAAAGTGCTGAAATTCCCAGAAAAAATAAAGGAATCGCAATTTCCATGTATTATGCTCATCTATACACATTGTGTCCTAAATACGTGCAAAGTTTGACGAAATTGTGTGCAGCGGTTTATGAGGAATTGCGCTAACAAACTGTTCATCTCTATTTTCAAGATATGGCCAAAATTTAAATGTGAAAGTGCGGAAATTCCCGAAAAAATAAAGAATTCGGAATTTTCTGGTGATGTGCAAATCTACACACACATTGTCTCCTATAAATATCTGCAAAATTGGACAAAACTCTGTGCAGAGGTGTATGAGAAGTTGCGCTGACCAAAAAAAAAAGAAAAAAAAGACTGATTGACGGGTCAAAAACATTATACCTCATGCACGCAACTTATTGCGAGGAGTATAATAAACGAGTTTGATTCTTTGGTACAATGATATTGAAAATAAAATTTACTGTGAAGTAAATTTCTAGACATTAATAATTAATGATTATTAGAAAAAGCATATAGGTAGAGAGAGCAAACTCCCCATGAGAATTCCACATTCTACCTACAATTAGCTTTTTAAAAAATTCTCTTGTCTGTTGTCCAGGTCCAGGTTCGACACGTACGTTTGAGAAGGTAATTGAGAAAGAACCCAATGTTCCCATTCCTGTGATGTATATTTCACGTTTATTATATCCCCCGCTTGAAAAGTGGGAGGGTATATAGTAATCGTTATGTTCGTTCGTTTGTCCGTGCGTCTGTCTCTTACGCTTTGGGGGTACCAATCTCTTATCCGCAAATCATCTTGTACCACTTAGTAAAATTTAATGAAACTTTCACAGAATCTAAGGTTTATTACATATTACTATTGTGCAACTCCTATTTTACTTTTCAGGGGTGTAGCAACAGGGGGGGGGGGTGGGGTTGGGGGGGGACTGCCCCCCACTTTTTTTCTGCGATCTAACTTATACTATAGGAAATGTTAATTGAAGGTTGTTTTTTTTGTTTTTGTTTTTTTTTTTGTTTTTTGCTTGTCAACTTTTTCAGGTAATTAAAAAGAATTCTCTGACTGGCCACCACTTTTAAATACGATGCTACGTGCCTGCTTTTTGATTCGACACATATTTTGGGTTTAGCGACAACAGCAAAATATGGACTGCCATTACATGTATAACCACATGGGAGGCGGGGTATCCTTTAGTGAGCTCATTGCTCACAATACCTCTAGTTTCTCTTTCAATTTGGGCGTTTGGGTTAATTTCTTGTCCAAATTAAAATTATTATTCAATTTACGAAGTTTCGACATCCCGTCTGAGAAAAATCCTTGATCAGTTCTAAGGCTTAATAAATGGTACATCGTACGTAGGATCTTATCTTACCTATTATTGCCCTAACGGATGGGAGAGGGAGAAAAGAGAGAGTTCAATATACAAAAGAGTTAATAAAAATTATCCGTATTCAACCAGTGTCAAGTATCCCTACTCTAGCTCTTAAAATTATCTCTCAAATACTCCTAAAGAAATTATTCTTATACAAAAAAAATAGCTAGACTATCAGGCAGGGATACTGAAATCTCGAAAGTCTCTCTGTAACATCATAAAACAGTTACATTCCTCAAAATGCACTTACTTTGCGGTCGAAGTGACACATTTTAAAAAAAAATCTCAAAATTGAATTCGGCAGAAATGTCTGTCTTCCAAGAATATTTAAATAACGGTCATGTCAATTATTTTTGCATGCCCCCCCCCCCGCCTAAAAAAAAAAAACAAATGCTTAAATGTGAATCTGAACAGGGGATGGCCTTTCTCCGTGTTTGTGTGTGTGTTAATGAACGTATAGATGTACACATAAAAATTTGTATTCTGGTGAATTGCTTTTAAGATTTGAAGTAAATAATTACCGTACCTCAAATTACTTGGTTTAGATTTGAGATTAGTACTAAAATAATCAGTTATAATTGACAAATGAATTTTGCGACGCAAACCAACTGCAGACTATATACATGACTTTGTATAGAATGTATATTAAAAGTACATGTAGATAGACAATTCACAATTATAGCTTATGAACAGCAGTTATAATACTTTAACCCCCCCCCCCTTTTCAGCAGCGCAAATCCCAAATAAGTTCTCTTTCCACTTGTGATATTTTCCCTGATCAAAATGTGATCAGCACGGACTAAGTGTATCGACGTGCTAGTCTGTACGGAGTAATGACAGTGTGTTTACTATTGAGCTTTTATGGAGTTTATTTCTTTTTTGTGATGCATATTTCAATAAATGGGATTCAGGGTGTATATCACTTGACTTGTGCACATCTTTGAACCGATGCAGTAACCTTATTTCCAGGTATGGGTACGTTTACAGCGTTCGAGGCGTTTTCTCGATATGCACCAATTGCATCTTTAGGACCTGCAAATCAAAGACGTAGGTTGTTTTGTTCCATTCAAATGATATAATTTCAAAATGTGTTTGCAAATTTTACTGCTTTTTATTTCAAGCTTATTCTGCATAAATTGGCGCACTGTAAAATACGTACTCATGCATCTAAATTTCTCTTCCAAACTTGCATTTTTTCCTTCTGATTCAAATCAACAATTATTCAGAAATATGATTATTATGTTGTTTGTTGTGGTTTTGAAATGTCTTGATCACCTCATGTGTTCTCATATGCTTTACCATCGGAGATGTGCACAAGTCGATACCCAAGCCACAAAATCATTCAAGTGTAACGACCGCATTGGGGTATATATCGTTACAATGAGACAATGTATCTGAAAGAAATATGGCGGAATACGGCTATAGTTGGTATGAAACAAGTCGTACATAGATGAAAATGTTGCGTTTTTAAGAATTCATGTCAGCTTTAAGCGTAAACTTATTAAATAAACGGTAGATTAAAGACTCAAAATTTAAAATACAAAATTTGTTTTTGGAAATTTGAATTTTGAATGTTTAAGGTAAAAATCTAAAAACCTAAAATTCTAAAACCTGTTTGGAAATTTGAAAATTTAGGTTTTGAACTAATATACTGTATTAACATTCTAAAACTCAGAATCATTTTAGAAATTTGAATTGTTAAGTGTTAAAAAAAATTACACGGACCACTTTGAATTGATCTTACGAATGAGAAGAGATAGGGCTTTCATATTGAAGATGTATATTACCTGTGACAACTCCTTTTTAAATTCACTATGTTGACCTCATGACCTTGACCTTGAAGTTTGACCTACTTTTCAAAAACTTTAACCTTTGTCATATCTTTTGAATGAGAAGAGATAGGGCTTTCATATTACACATGTGCATTATCTGTGGCAAGACCTTTTTAAATACACAAATGATTTGGGATGCTGCAACTTGACCTTAAAGTTTGATCTACTTTTCAAAAATATTAATTTTTCTTTATAACGTTTGATTGAGAAGAGATAGGAATTTCATAACTGACATATGCATTGTTACCCGTGACAAGATATTTCCGAGCAATACATAATTTCTGATCCCTTGACTCTGACCTTTCGATTGACCTAATTTAAAAAAAAAAACAATTTGGCGATAACTGCTAAATGACATAGAATAGGGCATTCATATTTGATACAATATTTCATTTTAAAAAATGACATTTTACCCAAAAAGACACCGGAAGCGGGGACCCCAATTCTTTGAATTTGCTTGTGTTATCATATTGTGTCAAATATGAATGTCCTATCATATGTCAGTCAGAAGTTATCACCAAAATTGATTTTTTTAAATGAGGTCAATTGAAAAGGTCATGGTCAATGGGTCAGAAATCATATCTTGTCACAGATAATGCACATGTCAAACAAATATGAAAATCTTATCTCTTCTCAATCAAATTATTTGAAAGAAAAGGAAAAATGGGCCACATTTCAAGATCGCGAGATTAAAAAAATCAAAATGTATTTACTTAGAAAGGATAATTTTATTATTAGGTAGGGGTATATTTTTTTTAAAAAGAAAAATAAGTAACGTCAGATGCCTGTGATGTTTAATGTGAAAGCCCTATCTCTTGTAATTCAAAAGTTATGGCCCCTGTTGGTGGTAGTATAGGTGGGTCAACTGGACTTTTGGGGCTGCAGCCCCTGGGGGGATAGGGGGTTCAAGGGAGTGCAGCCCCTGTGGGGGATAGGCAGGTCAACATATGTGGGGGATAGCATCAATCTTATTTGATATATCTATTGCATCATCTTTTTGATACCTGTTGCATCATCTTTTTAGATCTATTGCATCATCTTTTTGATACTTGTTGCATCATCTTTTTAATACTTATTGCATCATCTTTTTTGATACCTGTTGCATCATCTTATTATACCTGTTGCATCATCTTGCAAAAATAAGTTGGACTTATCTTTCTGTAAACTATCTAGTCAGCGAGCTTACCTATGCATTGTGACGTCATAAACTTGGCAGCGACGTCATGTTAGTCCTTCACAAGCCGCGATGGCTGCTTATTTTGACACAATAACACAGACTTTCACAGCGCTTGAGACTTCATGTAATAACAGTATGGTCCTATGGATTTCAGTACCAAAACTGATTTTCTACCGTTTTTCTTCCAAGAAAGTTCTGAACAGCTGAATCCTGGATCAGCCTAGATGTTATTTCACTGGATTATTTAATGAATATTACTCTACTGAGTTACCTGGTTACATGGTAAGTTTTAACAAACTTTTCTTTATACATTTTCTATGAAGGTCATCTTTGTATTTATTCATTATTACTGTGTTATATACCTTATGTTTAGAACATTCATACAAACACTGCCATTGTTTACCCTGAAATACACTAGCCCCTAGGACACTAAAAGATCCTCAAAATGTTGATAAATCTTTTTTGCATGAGTTATGATCATATTGTCTCACATTCCTTTTATTGGATCAGTATTCTAAATATTCTTATGAGGAGACTCCTAGCATATCTTATAAAATACTGATACATGCTTTTAAAACAACTAAAGTGATATTCTCAGATGTTATTTCTAATATTTCTATGAATCTTTAATCACAGTGACCAAAAGAAGGATATGGAGATAATCAATCAGATCATATTATGCCAATGAATCTTTTGTCTCAAATCTTTTTTAATGAAATATACAGAATCTTTTGCCTTTATATTTGTCACTCATATTTTTACATTCTGGTGCAACAGTGGCCCAATGAAAGTGGGAAAAACTCAGTCTGAGCATCTCTGTAAATCTATAAACATGTGTGCCCCCCTTTTTTTTAAACCTTCATGTATATACATGTATGTATTTTATTTAGTCAGTGATTTCAAACATCAACATGTAAAATATATATTGAGTACTTTAAAAGTGAATATGTATGATTTGTTCACCCTGAATATTCTGACATACTAATGGTGACATCAGTTAAAAGAGTAATTAGTTATGTAAAATTCAGTTTATATGAATGTAAATGGGGTATTTATTCTCAGTTCATGTAAGGTATAATTTGCATGTAACCCATCTATGATGGGTATATTTAAATCAGAAAAAATGTTTACTAAATTTTGGTAAAATACATATGGTATCTTTTACATTTCTGTCCTGTTTGTCTGTCAATTGTTGCTTTACTTCCTTTGTAAAATGAGGTTAATTTGTGTATCACTCAATATTGTATGCTTTTTTTCAGGATCAGCTAAGATGTTGTTTCACTGGATTATTTAATTGGGCATATAATTGGATAATTCTGGTAAGTTTGTCTTTGTTTTGTTTACATTTCCTATGAAGGTCATCTTTGCATTTAACCATGATTATATGGTTTAATTTAATTACTGTGTAATTCTTATGTGATCTAATATCTCTAACATTCATATAAGCACAGTCTTATTTTGTCTAAAATATACTAAGGAAACTTCATATTGTTAATAAGTCCTTTTGCATAAATTATGATATAATGTCATAATTCATTATGTCTGTTACCCATGGAATTCAGACTTACTAAATTGTGATCTATAAGGAATGTAATAAAAGAAAAAGTAAGAATCTACAAAAGGTTTATCCTTGTTTTGATTCTAAATATGTGGTATATATGGCATACATATATTTTCATTTTCACTTTTGTTTCTTGGTAATGAGCTTTTCAAAAAATGTAGGACTACATGTTGTATATGCTAATATCTTTTTGTATGCTGTACTGACAGGTATTAAACAAAATTGAATATGCTGTTAAGAGAAAGTCTGTTAATGTCTAAAAATTACACTGATAATCATTTTGTATTTGTGATATTAATACAGTAACTGTGCTTCTTTTGTTATCTAAAGATAACATGGTGAACTATTTTCATGAACTTTTTGTCACTGTATTTAAACATGCAATGTTTCATGCAGTTCCTTGTCATATTAACAAAATGATTATATTTTCTACAGTCCTCAACCTGGAAGATATGTTTTATTCCTAACCATCTATAATCCATTCTCTATGAAGTTCAGCCTGTCTGCCCAAATTCCTTTGGAAATACATAGTTAGTCAACCAACATAGAAACAATCAAACTTGAAGGTAAAGTTTCAATGAGATATCATTTTAATTTATTTAATTCTGTTTTATTTAAATGTTTATATTTTAAAATGGATAAAAAAAATGGATAAAAAACATCTGATAATGGAAATCAATATCATAAACATAGTAAGTTTTTTAGTGTCTAAATAATTAATCTGATAATCATTTTATTTATGATATTAATACAGCAGTTGTGCTTGTTTATTATCTATAGATAACATGATGAACTTTTCTCATCTGGAGTTAATGTTAAAAACAATTTTTTTGAGATTAAAAACAAATATTTTCATGATCTTTTTTGGCATTGTACATGTTGTATTTAAACATGCATTGTTTCATGCAGTACTCTGTCATATTAACAAAATGGTTTTATTTCTACAGTCATCAACATGGAAGATATGTTTTGTTCCTAACCATCTATAATCCATTCTCTATGAAGTTCAGCCTGTCTGCTCTTCCTTTGGAAATACACAGTTAGTCAATCAACATAGAAACACACAAACTTGAAGGTAAAGTTTCAATGAGATACAATTGTAATTTTTATTTATTTATTTATTTACATATGCATTTTTATATTTTCAAATTAATTGAATTGATAAGTAAATGATATGACCTTTTTTTGAAATAAAGAGGGCTTGGTTGTCATAGCCATTTTTAGACTACATTGATATCCTTTAGAAGAAGAAGAAAAGGCATAAAAATTCATGATCAAATTTTTAAAACTAAAATGTATGAAATTTTTCTTTGCCAAATGATAGTTAACAGCTGAAGATAGCATATTTATAGAATAAGTTAAATATGGCTAATTTATTAACCCCCAGCTTCCTTAATAGCATAATTGGTAAAGATTTCAAGTTTTCTCTCCAAATGCTTATGAATTCTGACTTTTTCATTTAATATTAACATTATATTTACAGGGAAAGAATACTATAATGTGGATCCTGGGGATCAACAGTGAAACATCTTAATGACCCTCTTGACTAGGTCTACAGGCTGTAACCTTTATTGCTGATGTAAGATGATCTGATTGCATGGCATTAAAATTTCCTGGTGTTTCTACTTTCCAGGATCTTCTTATGAGTGCATGGGGACTGCTGTGGACCTTAACCTGTTTATAAAAATATACCTTGGAGCATGACACTTTATTCATAAAAGGTACTTTCAATATCATTTCTATGAGTTTGTGTTCTTTCTTTTTAATAATCTAGTGTTATATCTCCTTTAACCTCATTAATATGTATGCTTCCAACATCTTAGATCTGTCTGTATAGTTTCTTCAGCTCTTTGAACACAAATACCCTGATTCAATCTTTTGAGGTAAACATCATAGAGGCATCATAGATGATTATCAGAGTGTATATATCACAATCTTGACCATAAGGTCAATTTAAATGGTCAAAGGCACAACAAATGAAAGTGAAAACTTTTCTTTTTTTTATCAGAATACATAATTTTGTAATAAATAAAGATAGTAAGTTTTTTAGTGTCTAAATAATTAATCTGATAATCATTTTATTTATGATATTAATACAGCAGTTGTGCTTGTTTATTATCTATAGATAACATGATGAACTTTTCTCATCTGGAGTTAATGTTAAAAACAATTTTTTTGAGATTAAAAACAAATATTTTCATGATCTTTTTTGGCATTGTACATGTTGTATTTAAACATGCATTGTTTCATGCAGTACTCTGTCATATTAACAAAATGGTTTTATTTCTACAGTCATCAACATGGAAGATATGTTTTGTTCCTAACCATCTATAATCCATTCTCTATGAAGTTCAGCCTGTCTGCTCTTCCTTTGGAAATACACAGTTAGTCAATCAACATAGAAACACACAAACTTGAAGGTAAAGTTTCAATGAGATACAATTGTAATTTTTATTTTTTTATTTATTTATTTATTTACATATGCATTTTTATATTTTCAAATTAATTGAATTGATAAGTAAATGATATGACCTTTTTTTGAAATAAAGAGGGCTTGGTGGTCATGGTCATGTTTAAACTCTATTGATATCCTTTAGAAGAAGAAGAAAAGGCATAAAAATTCATGATCAAATTTTTAAAACTAAAATGTATGAAATTTTTCTTTGCCAAATGATAGTTAACAGCTGAAGATAGCATATTTATAGAATAAGTTAAATATGGCTAATTTGTTAACCCCCAGCTTCCTTAATAGCATAATTGGTAAAGATAGGAAGTTTTGGCTTCAATTGCTGATGAATTCTAAATTTTCCATTTAATATTATCATTCTATCAAAGAGAAAGAATACTATAATGTGGCTCATTAGGATGACCAGTGAAAAATCTTAATGACCCTCTTGACTATGTCTAAAGATTGTAACCTTTATAGCTGATGTAAGATGATCTGATTGCATGGCATTAAAATTTCCTGGTGTTTCTACCATCCAGGATCTTCTTATGAGTGCATGGGGACTGCTGTGGACCTTAACCTGTTTATAAAAATATACCTTGGAGCATGACACTTTATTCATAAAAGGTACTTTCAATATCATTTCTATGAGTTTGTGTTCTTTCTTTTTAATAATCTAGTGTTATATCTCCTTTAACCTCATTAATATGTATGCTTCCAACATCTTAGATCTGTCTGTATAGTTTCTTCAGCTCTTTGAACACAAATACCCTGTTTCAATCTTTTGAGGTAAACATCATAGAGGCATCATAGATGATTATCAGAGTGTATATATCACAATCTTGACCATAAGGTCAATTTAAATGGTCAAAGGCACAACAAATGAAAGTGAAAACTTTTCTTTTTTTTATCAGAATACATAATTTTGTAATAAACAAACACTGGAAAGTTACTCTCATAATGAGCCTTAATGTCTTCCAAGAGTTCGGTTTGGACTTCCTCCATTAATCCTTGTATCTTGTAATCCTTGTATCTCCAATGGTTTTGTGGGCTAAAAATCATGTGTCTTTAACAATCTTTTTTTCTGACAACTGTTTTCTCTTATCATCTATAAACTTGACTTCTTCTCTAGTCAAAGGTCTTTCAGGGTAATCCAAGTAATTCTCACCCTCTTTTGGTAATAAATGGTTATATTCTTCATTGGCTTTTTCTGCAATCAAGGGTCTTTCTATGTAATCTCTGACAACATTAGGATCACCCTTTTCTGGACATAATTGGTTATATTCTTCTTGAGAAATGATGTCAATAGTGCCATCTTTTTTTATTTTAACTGGTATACCTCTGTCTACATCTTTCTCTGTAAGAATTCTCTTACCAAACTGAATTTTACTCATTCCTTTACTCTTTTCTTTTACTAAAGCTGTTACTACCCATAGTTTTGAAAAGTCAAAATCTGATGTTACACCTTGTTTTTATATCCCTTTTTGTCTATGTTTAAAATTCTATTAAGCTTATATTGCATATCAATTTTTCAACTAATAATTTTTTTTCCTTTCAAGGATTCTCAATGGGGAACTCAGTAAATTATGCACAGACTAACAGAATATACTCTCTTGGAACACTGATACAAGAATATAAAACCAGAGATGGATGGAGGACTCAAGAAGCACATGAATAAATATGATTCCAAACTAAGTCAATCATGATGATCATGAATTGTGGTTCACAGGATAAGAGAGAAAGGACCCAGGATTGTGCATTTTTCTAGATCCTCTCCCATTCATATCCTTCATATGCTGGCATACAAAACAATAGATAAATTGTAGTCATTTAACAGACTGAAGTTTAATCAAATCAAAGTATTGAAAATGTGTTTTTCTGATAGTATGAGATCTTCAAAAAAATAATTCTCACAGATTTCAAAGTATCTAAATATAACTTTTAATTTATGTAGTACAAATTGAATACAGTTGTTATGTATGACTTTTATACATTGAATCCTTAATTTTTCATCTTATATCTACAACACCCCTAGAAAATACACAGATATTCAGAAGCTAGCTTTGGTGTATTTATTACTTTCCTGGAACTGTAAATACATTTTATTTAGAATGTGTTTATCCTATTTTGAATTTAATACGTCTCAATAAGACCCACCATAAAGATGCAAGTGTCCCATAATCTGTGATGTAATAATATCTTGAATATTTTTATCAACCATTAGACTTCATGCTTACTACACAGAACAAGTTAGAGTAATACACTTAGTTTTATAGGACACTTTGTCAGGGTCAAAGCATGAGATTATTGAGATAACTACCTTTGACAATAATTTGTAACCTGCAAAATTCACATCATAAGTAAAGAAAGATTCGGAGATTTTCTATAGATTTTTGGATCATTTTTCTCCTGGGTCAAAATAAGTTGTTGTAACTTTAACATTTTGTGATAACCTAAGAGACTTTATATCAGCTTTACTGGGTGGCATAGCATATATATTCTTTGGAAAGAATTGAAATGTAAATCATATGCACTATGTTCAAGGATGTTTAAAGACTATTACTATGTAATACCCTAGAATTCTGTAAAACTTTTATTTCACTGCGGAGATAAAGACTGGTTGGAATAATTTATGTTTTGAAATAAGGTTTAGGGAAAAAAGTCAAGAATGTGGATATGACTTTTATTCAAATGGTGCAGTACAGCAACTCTGGTGATTTACATATCTTCAGTCATAAATACATGTAGATAGGTATTGGGAAGACTCCTCTAGATTTTGAAATTTTTAATTCAAAAGTATAGAATTTTTTTTTTAAGTTTGAAAGATTAAATGGCAGCATATCATTTGGTTGTGAATTAAAAAATAAATCCAAACATATACATCCTTGGATGATAACTGTAGTATTTTATCAATTCCTGGACTTCTGTCTTGATATCATCCTTTAATGTCCTTAAAATTTTAATGACTGTCTTTTAGTTTTAATTGAATTAGGTTTCTTTTCTACATGTGAAAATGACATCATCCAAAGAAGTTCTTCATCTGCATGTTATATGAAGATGACAATTTTCATCACACTGAAAGAGATTGTTTTGTTAAACATAATGCATTGATACACAAATATACTTTTAGATTTTTAATAGCTAGGGTTCATAATTTTTAATATGGAATGAAAGAGATTGTTTTGTTAAACATAATGCATTGATACACAAATATACTTTTAGATTTTTAATAGCTAGGGTTCATAATTTTTAATATGGAATGCTAAGTACTGTTTATTTCAATTTTTTGTGAACAAAGACATACTAGTAGAAAAAATGTACATGATGTGATAGAAAAGCATATGTAAACCTGATTACTTTATAATTGCTGATTAAATCAATTATGAGTTTCATCTTTGTTGCATTGTAAACATTTCTAAGTAGGGCACACATCAGAAACTCTTTAAATTCTGAGTATCAGGGTTTAACACAACAATTCCAAATGATTTTGGACGCTTTTTATGTATCAAAAAAAAAAAAAAAAGACAAAACAGAATGTTTGTTCACAGATGTTCCAATGGAAAACAAACACAAAGAAATAATTAGATATGTTCTTTATGTGATTCATGTAAAATGTATTTTAAAATTGTACCCTAACATTTATCTTTTGCATAAATACATTTTTTTTTGTAGAGAATTTCTCATAACTTTTTAAAAAATGTAGTCTTATTGTATAATATGGTTAACTTAAAATTTGTAGACTTAAAAGTTGTACATGATGTGTTACACATCTTACATATGTAACCATTTCATTTCAGGGCATTCAGCATATATTGTGGTTTTGTCTTAAATTTGTTTGTTCATGTAATCAATAATTTGAGAATACTCAAATTAGGTAATGCATGAGAGAATAGGCAAGAAAATCAGGTTTAAGAAATGGTTTTTACTATTTATAAGGGGTTAATCTATATATTGAATCTATAAGTACATTTAGTCTATACATTTAAGGTATTTGTGTATGAAATAAACTTGTATTTGAGCATTTTAAGACAATTGTAAACATTACTTTAACCAGTTTAAAAAATGATTAGATTCACTGTCAGCATGTTATTTCTTGTAAAAATAAATGAGAAAACAAACAATTTTATTTGAGTCAGTTTTTTTTAATGTAAATAAGAAGCATTGGAAGTTGGGAATATTTCACAAAGTTGATTGAGCATAATTTTCACTAGGACAGTAGGAGTATTATGATTTAAGCATTAAAGAAACCATTTCATATTTCAATATACAAACCATGTTTAGTCATGCAGTATATAGTTTACACTTGCCAAAAAGTAAATGGTATCTCTATTCAGGGTCAATCCAAAGGTCAAAAAGGAATGAAAAAAATATTTCTCTTTATGTATCAAACATGTAGGTATTATTGCAATAAATTCACTGTATTCATTTTTGTTCTCTTTCTATGTATGAATAGCTCTGATTTGGGCAATCAAAAAATACAAGAAGCAAATGAGTTATGTCAAATGATGAAGGTATACACTTGAAAATTACATGAACAGAGAATTTTGAGTTTCCCTCAAATATGGATGCCAAGTGATGTGAAATAAAAACAAAATGTGGATTCATCTATTAGGATTGAGACTTGTACATATTATGAATGATGGATACTATGACATTTAGAATGATATTACATTGATTCAATTATTTAAACAGTTCTTTATCCAAACAGTCAAAGTGGAGGACATATATTTTTCTTTATAGGCATAAAATATACTCTTTGAAGAAAAGGAACCTTACTTGCTTTTTTGTTGAGTTGACATTCATATTTTTGTGTTTAACAGGTAGACTAATGGTTTCTGACTAGTATAGTGAGAACTTGATTTAAGAATCATCAGATTGTTCTGATATTTTGGTTAAGATAACTGCATGACAACAATGAATTTGTTCATACAAAGGGATATAAGATTTTCCAGGTTTTCTCTTTACTCAGATTAGATTGTGTCCAACTAATATATCCAACATATAAGATACTCATCCAAGTTACACAAAGGTAAATAAATGACATTATTAAGGTTTTAGTCTAAAGGTCAAAGTGACGAGGACATCTGCTAAATTTAATAGTTTGGATAATATTCATCAAACTTCATGGGTAGCTTAATTAAACAAACTTCATAAATTTTGATTTTCAGGTCAAAGATCAACACAATTTTTGCTATACCATTGTTGTCCATGGATATCTTAACACTTCTATTGATTTTTCAGGTTAAAGATCAATGTATTTCTGCTACAGTAAAAACTTCATTATAAGGATCTCATAGTGATATTTTTTTTATTTGTAAGGAATTGGGTATAAAATCTCCCACTCTTTCTATAATATGTCACTGAATATGCTCCTTCATTTTAGAGAGTTTTACAAGCAAATCATATACTGACTTTCAATCCTTCAAAACACAGTATGTATTTTAAATCTTGAGATTCAGACTTTCAGACTTCTAGGCTTTCAGACTTCAGGCTTTTAATCTTTAAAAAACTTTCAATCTTGAGGACTGAGTATTTTAATATCTATTTTGTAAGTCTTGTCTTTTATGTCATTACGATTAATCCTTAGTAATTCAAACTTTTCATATTTGTAAAACCAAAGTGTTGAAGTACAGTGTTTGTGTAATCTTCTTAATGTTTATCAAAAAATTACTGCTTTTAATACAGTCAAATATAATTTGTGATGATCAAAATTTCCAAATTGCCTGACCTATACATATTTAAAGTTTCAGTATCATACACTCTTGAATATCCATAAATATCAATATATTGATTCAGCATTGGCTATCAACCATACACTTGTTAACCTAAGGAAGGTTCTTACCATAAGTTAAACTCATGGAATTCCTCATGCAATTTTGCAGAATCTCTGTAATAAGGGATGAGAAAGACAAAAGACATATACATTTCTAAGTAGTAATAATTTTTAAAACTATATATCCACATTAAATTGAGGAACATTTGAAGAACCCTTTTTCTTTTCTTTATAACTCATGAAATTTCATGTAGATAGTGGCTATGATGTGTAAATAATCTTTATGAAAAAACAAAAGGATGGTGTAAAGTTAGCCTCACCCAACACCCAAGGAAGAGGGGAAGGGGGTTGAACCCTTTTTGTTCAGGAAACCTGAATTTTAAAGGTTTAAAAAAAAATCATAAAATTATATCAAATTTATAAGGTTAATATTTCTTAAGTTTTGTTTTTATTAAAAAGAAAATTTGAAAGTTAAATAAAAACAAAACTTAAGAAATATTAACCTTATAAATTTGATATAATTTTATGATTTTTTTTAACAAGGTTAACAAGTGTATGGTTGATAGGCAATGCTGAATCAATATATTGATATTTATGGATATTCAAGAGTGTATGATACTGAAACTTTAAATATGTATAGGTCAGGCAATTTGGAAATTTTGATCATCACAAATTATATTTGACTGTATTAAAAGCAGTAATTTTTTGATAAACATTAAGAAGATTACACAAACACTGTACTTCAACACTTTGGTTTTACAAATATGAAAAGTTTGAATTACTACGGATTAATCGTAATGACATAAGAGTCAAGACTTACAAAATAGATATTAAAATACTCAGTCCTCAAGATTGAAAGTTTTTTAAAGATTGAAAGCCTGAAGTCTGAAAGCCTAGAAGTCTGAAAGTCTGAATCTCAAGATTTAATATACATACTGTGTTTTGAAGGATTGAAAGTCAGTATATGATTTGCTTGTAAAACTCTCTAAAATGAAGGAGCATATTCAGTGACATATTATAGAAAGAGTGGGAGATTTTATACCCAATTCCTTACAAATAAAAAAAAAAATATCACTATGAGATCCTTATAATGAAGTTTTTACTGTAGCAGAAATACATTGATCTTTAACCTGAAAAATCAATAGAAGTGTTAAGATATCCATGGACAACAATGGTGTAGCAAAAATTGTGTTGATCTTTGACCTGAAAATCAAAATTTATGAAGTTTGTTTAATTAAGCTACCCATGAAGTTTGATGAATATTATCCAAACTATTAAATTTAGCAGATGTCCTCGTCACTTTGACCTTTAGACTAAAACCTTAATAATGTCATTTATTTACCTTTGTGTAACTTGGATGAGTATCTTATATGTTGGATATATTAGTTGGACACAATCTAATCTGAGTAAAGAGAAAACCTGGAAAATCTTATATCCCTTTGTATGAACAAATTCATTGTTGTCATGCAGTTATCTTAACCAAAATATCAGAACAATCTGATGATTCTTAAATCAAGTTCTCACTATACTAGTCAGAAACCATTAGTCTACCTGTTAAACACAAAAATATGAATGTCAACTCAACAAAAAAGCAAGTAAGGTTCCTTTTCTTCAAAGAGTAT